CTTACATTATTAAGGCCAGGGAATGATTGGCTTGCACTTTATGGATTCACTCAAACAGGTGACTACTTGTAGGCATACAGTACATTCCTTGGTTGCCAAATGTGTTATGATAAAATCGTAAAATATATATTGCATATGTGACTCATGCAAAAGAAATCCCATGAATTTACCTAGGGAGATGTTACATTTAGTGAACATTTTGAAAAAGTTGAAAAAGCTGCACGGTTCTAATGAATAGTTGGCCTTAGTGCCAACTCGGACAAAGGACTTGACTTTAGCAGAAACAGCCTATGCATCCAACAGGCTAAAAGAAACAGGCCTCTCTAACCCAAAGTATGATATTGACAAACCGGTTGCAGATGTGTTATAAAAAATGTCAGACATGGAACAACATGATCCTGGCCTCAAACTTTGGAACATGAATTAGAAGTCATCGTGGTCATGTCAACTTTGAGGCTCACAATGACTTCTATTTCATGTCCGTGTCATCAGGATTAATGCACTCCTGGCCACTACTCTACAGTGCCAGTTTACTGCTTTCAACTGATTACAAACTGGATGGCTTTTTATAATCCAGATTTGGGCAGCCATTGCTTTTTCGGACTCATATTAGAACACTGATATCAGAGCATCAAACCAAACAGGGATAATTTTCCTCAGCAATGGTTCTACCTGTTGAAATAGCATTTATTTTGCCAAACATAGCCCTTTTGCCACCCTTAACATAGCAAGATATAGGTTAGCTTAGTAATGATTTCTGAACTATCTGTAGGCTATATGCTTTATTAAGGGTTTATGAAAGCTTCATTAAGGGACATGCACACCGCACCAATTGTCTGTCTGCCGTTCATCAAGCATTTTTCTGTCATCCGTTCCCTGTGGTGTGCTATAGGGACCACTCGCCAGTGGCATTTGACTGGCGACTGAATTGCGACATTCTCTCCTTTTTCTTCATGGTGAATCGGTATGCCATCGGTAGAGAGATATTTCTACTCTGAGCCAATCAGAGAGCACAAGTGGGGAGCTGAAAGGCAACCAACAAGTAGAAAAAAATAGGTAACTTTTCTATTTTCAACTTTACTTCCGTTTCTTCTGAAAAATGGAAGTGGGGACTCTTCTCAGGCATCTTTCCATGAAGCAGCTGCCTGCAGCTGGCTGCCGAGAGTCAATGGAGTGTCTTTACTTTACCTAGCTAGCACAACAGCTAGCTAGCAAACCATGCTAACCATTTAGCGAATGTTAGCCAGCTAGCAAAAATATCTATGGGCTGTATGCAATTATGGAGAGTGAATTAAATTGTTTCTTTGTCTTCCTAGCTAGTTATCTAGTTGTGGCCATTTTAGGATCAACAAGGGCTTTCTACAACAATAGCAACATTAGCGCAGCTAGCTAGCTAATATTGGCTATCTAGACCATAAAGCAACACACTGGTTTTGAGTTTTTTAACAAGGCTGAGTGGCTGACGACTTCAAGGTCTTTGCTGTGTGAACACAAAAGAGATTGACTGCCGACACTGTTCAGAGGTGCTAAGTACTGTCAGCAGGCGAACGTTTGACAATCCTACCGGTGTGTCTGAGCCTTTAAGCCTTTAAAGCTATCCTTTGTTTAGTGTGAGACCATTGTGGAAAGGTGACAGTCAGTATCTTGACTCTGCTCACTCAAATACACTCATCCTAATGATCCTAGACAGGTGGTTATTGTATATGATGTACCAGATTGTGTAGTTTTGTTATTGTCTATTGAGTTCTGTGCTTGTCTATTAATGTTATATATTATGTCACGTTTTATGTTTTGTGTTGACCCCAGGAAGTGTGCTGCGTGAGCAACAGCTAATGGGGATCCTAATAAATAAATAAACCTGTTGGTTAGATATCACCCATCCTCTCTGGTGATGCAGCATCTCTCCTCTGTACTATGTGACTGGGGTCAGGGCACAGCTATATCAAACCTCTCTCTCTCTCTCTCTCTCCACACTACATCATTCATCCTCTCTGTAATAGTGTTTCTGGGGACACTTTAAGGGTAACACACCAAATTGTGCAAGATACCAGTAATTTAATCTGAAAATATTATGTAACAGAGTGGCTTGACCCTGTTGGATCCTGGCACCGAAGTGGCAGAGAGTCATCGGTTCTCAGCTTTAAATGGTACAACAGGGGTGAAACCTTTTGGCAGCCCCTCTTCGCAGTCACAAAGCCTAAGGATAAAGGCTTTGCTGTAATGTAATGTAAACATTGCAGTTATCTGAGGTGAAGGGAGAGAGCTGGAAACTGTCCTCTGTGGCCAAATAATCTTAAAGAGCGACTGAACTCATCGATTCCCAATGTGTCTGTTGCTCATTAAGAAAATCAAGATTTCAGTCTTGGGGGTGTGGTTCGATGTGAGTGTGTTATCGTACCCTGCCAGTTACTGTTGTTTGTCGCTCTTAAGACACCGCAACAAAAATACCCACTAGGCTACCACTTCCTCAAAATAGGTTTTAGGTTTTATTTATTTGCAAAGAAAATAAGTGAAAGACAAAATAGTACAGATAGAATGGTAAAAACAGTGTGCAGGTGAGGTTGGAAGCCCAAAAGGGCTTATATGAAAAGCACACCACAAATATAAGTACACTTTTTTTTTCTCCAATCTGTTAAACAAAGCATATTAATCATAATTGTACATGATATACTCAGTATACAAGAAAAACCCTGTTTGATTATGTGTTCATGTGCGAGAGTTAGCCTACATGGAGGGGATTCTTTTGTAGTTTGGTTCATCAGGCTGACCCCCAGTCTTCGCATGAAGTTATTGCGGGATGATGAGGTTTTGGCAATGTGAAGATATGAATTCCAGAGTATGGTACCTCTGTATCTGATAGAGAATTGACTATGTGAGGTGGAACAGTGGGGAGGCTGTAGGTTATCGCAGTGTCTTGTGTTATATAGATGGATTTCAGAATTAACCTGGAAGAATCCATTGAAGGGTTTAGGTAAACTGTCTGGGAGGTATGAGTATTTGTAGATGAAAGTGCATAATTGGTGTACATTAATGTCGTAAATAGACAAGATATTGAGTTTCTTAAACAAAGGTGCAGTGGAGCCAGGTAATTAGAGGAGGTGGCTAGTCTTGCACATTTGCATAAACAAATTGTTCTCTATCATAAACATAACTATATAACCAATGATATGTATAATCATGAAAACCGTAATAATGCAATTTAAAAAGTAATATTTCATGATCAGCCGTGTCAAACACTTTGGATAAATATAATAAGATGCCAAGAGCGTATTCATTGTTGTTAAGGGCTGTAAATATTTTATCCACAAGTTGCAAAAGAGCCATATCTGTGGGGTAGTCTTTACATCGACAAGTGGCAGTTGGGATACAAGTGTGCATCGTCTCAATTGTCATTTTGCCCAAAAGAGTGGCAGACTCAGTGCTTTACATGGGCAGGAGGTCATAGAACTGAGTACTGGCACCTCATATTTTCTACTAGCCTACCTGAGTTCCTGCACCTTTTATAGAATATTAGCTCAAAAGTATTATGGAGTTCCTGCATCTAAATATAAACGGTACCAGCACCCAAAATGAGTAGGCTACCCGCACCTATTTCAGTCAAAGTCAAACACTGGTAAGACTCGAGTGATCACTACACATCAGCAAGTGGCCACTCCATAAAGGGTTTAGGGGCCAAGTGTTCTTTCAACATAACATTGGCGACGTGTTGTCTTATGTAAACAAGTCTAAGGCGCTGCGGAATGTGGGCAGGTCTGTCTCACTGTGCGTCCTGCCGTACAATCAGTGTTTGTCTGTGCATGACAATTCTCCCTTGGCGTTACAATCCCGTGTTAATGGGCATAATCAAAATCAAAATCCAACACCATGTAAGTCCCCTGTAGCTCAGTTGGTAGAGCATGGCGCTTGCAACGCCAGGGTTGTGGGTTCGTTTCCCACGGGGGGCCAGTATGAAAATGTATGCACTCACCAACTGTATGTCGCTCTGGATAAGAGCGTCTGCTAAATGACTAAAATGTTAATGTAAATTACAAACTCAGTTACACAAATCTCACAAAACTCTGTTTTGGAATATACTGACTTTATGACCAAAATTATCCTACTTAGACTTTTTAGTCGATTTTGGCTCTGGGATAAATGTTTCTGACTCGTATCGATGCCACATAGGCCGTTTTCAATGAGAGAAGTTGATTATTGCGCTCAGTTGCCCTTTCTTGTGCTCAGTTGCCCTTTAAAGGATCTATATCTAATACATGTTAATGGATGGTATAATATTAGCTAACGTAATATTATACAAGTATGAACAAAAAGCACTACCTCTTCCATCACTCCTCAGACTACTGCAGTGTCTACTCCCACATTCTGTACAAGCACAGCCACTGGTCCACTGAGATGGTCAGAATATGAAGTCATGCTTTATAAAGACATTATCGTTAGGGATAGGCCAGTAATGAAAACACTCAATCCCAGTCTCAGTCTCAGTCCTGCAGCTTCCCTAAGCTCTACCCACTCGGCACAGATGTCAGTTCAACGTCTAGTTTTGATTCACATTTGGTTGAGTTGTCTTACTAATGTGAATTCAACGTGAAATCAACAAAACATTTCACCATGCCATTGGTTAAAGTTGGGTGAAAGAAAGATGAAATTCCCTTACATTGCTGACTTTTTTTCAAATCCAATCAGTTTTCCACATTGATTCAACGTCTTCACATTGAATGTTTTTTTTATTGAAATGACATGGAAACAACATTGATTCAACCACTTTTTGCCCAGTGGGTATGTGCTCCGCTCTTATGATTTGTACATAAATCGTAACGTTACTATCTCCCATGACAAAATGAAACAATGTCTGCCACTCTGATATGCTCCCAACACTGATTTATCTGAGACACACCTCAGTTGGGTGTTTTTTCTGTCCAGCACCTGAACCAGGGTGATGCAAATATATATTTCTTATAGATGTATGATCTCCCCATACTTTCTCTACCCCTATTCCCCTCAGGACCATCAATGCTGGGAAGAGCATGCTGAATGAGGACCAGGCGTCCTGTGAGCTGCTGTACGTGAAGAAGCTGAGCAACAAAAAACAGCGCAACTCCACACTGCTGGAAGACAATGGGGTGAGACTACCGGAATCATAGAATTATGAGAATCAGTTCTAGTAATTATAATTATATAAGTAGAACACTGGTAAGGCCCGTTGACTGGGTCTACAGCACAACAATAGGAGAGAGGGCAAAGGATACCAGCCTGGTCTCATAGACTAGACGTAACATAGTAAACGTAAATCCGGGCCTCTCAAATTAGTATGATATGTTACATTTGGTATGGTTACATAAGACAGATGGTTACTTAATGCAAAAAACAAAAGTAGGGTGGTTGGTCGGGGTGGATGGATTGGCGTGTAACGCGAACGTCTAGCGACCCAAAGGTTTCGAGTTCGAATCAACTCATGGACAACTTTAGCATTTTAGGTATCCAGCAACTTTTCAACTACTTACTACTTTCATCTACTTTGCAACTACTTAGCATGTTAGCTAACCCTTCCCCTAACCCTAACCTTTCCACTAACCCTAACCCTTTTCACCCAATATCTCTAACGGTTGCCCCAGAGTGAGTTTTCTTATGCGTGTGATGTCAGAATGCACTCAGTGTTCTATGTGATTGTTACACAACAGGACAGTTAACCTGCACTGCCCTCAAACTAAGGCATGCTGCCTGCTAATGATCTATAGGCTGTGTTTCAAATTGTCAATTTCAAATTATTTTCAAACAACTTTTGTTTTCTAACAACAGTTTGAATTGAGGTGGGTTCCGCCTCCTCATTAATTCACATAGAAGTAGCCCATTTCACTGTTGACGACAATTTATGTTTGAGGCATCACTGAGCCAGACAAACTTCTCTCTTCGACGAGAGATGAAGTATGCAGACATTTGCGCATCGCCAGTCAGAATAGAACTTCAACACAGTTTTCCCCCTGGCACATTTTCCGGCTAGCGCGCATTGCCGTCATTGTGGTTTTCCTTACTAATAATAACTTGGGACGTGTATTCCTGTCAAATTAAGTGCCTTATTATGTTAGCATTATAGTTTCTGTATATCGTGTTGTTGTTTCTACTGTAGCACACCGTATGTATGTATGGAGCATAATGTATTTACTGTTTTATTCACGTTTTCAAATACTGGTGACAAATCATGTAATCCGATTCTTGCATAGATTGTAATGGACACAAGATGTGTGTAAAATACTTTTTTGAAGGTTGTACTGATTATGATGAGCTAATGCTAAGCTAATTGCCAGCTATGTGTGGCGCCATGTTTGTTGACATCATACAACGCATTCTGTTTGTCACGTAAATGCCTGTCAGACCAAAGATGTTATAACAAAACGAGGTGAAGGGATGGTTCACTCGTCTTTCGAGTAAACTTCCAGAAGTGAATGATAGAAGTGAATGATGGTAGATGACACACACCCTTCAACATGCATACTGCAAACAGACCAAACTCATCTTGTAACCTCTTATCTTTGGTTAACACGAAAAAAACAAAAATGGCAGCACGCACAAACTACCCATCATCGGATTACTTTAGATTTATAGAAAGTGTTTTATTCAATTATTTAATTCACTGGTGAGCTCACCCGTGATGTGATGAATTGTAAATAGTAATTGCTATTATCTAATTCATATTATGGTTTCTGTCAGCCGAGAGTTCTAAATAAGTGTTCTAATCACACCGGTTTGAGCGTACGCTGCAGTGACCACTGTAGAATGATCACACCCGTGTGTTTGCACGTGTCAAAGGGTTAACCTAACTCCTAAACTTAACCTTAACCCTAATCCCTAGTCTAACTAACGTTATCCAGCTAGCTAACGTTAGCCACCTAGCTAGCATTTGTAACATATGTTTTGCAAATTCATAACATATAATACGAATTGTAATTTGTAACAAATTGTACGAAATGGGTGATGGAAATCCCAAAATTAATACATACCATACTAAATGGCGTGTCACGGATTTATGTACAGAATAATACAAAATGCTCTGAGACCAGGTTGAGCATAGGCACATCCTGGTCCAATGTTTGTTTTGTTATAGACTACTGCCCTCATTGTTAAGGTGGGACCTTTGGTGACACACTGCACTGCAGCAAGGTTTTCACAGGTCTCTCTCTCTAATAAAACCATGTCTGTTTAAATGTCTCCAATCTCAACTTTGAAGCACCAGACATCACTGGGTAGCTGGGGATACATTTTTTCTCCTGACAAAGCAAAGACAATTTCATTAAGACATTGACCATTGTGCGCTGCTGTATTTAGAAACAGCTTTCTGTGGGTCCGTAAACCAAAAACCCACTCACTCACTCAGAGATGGCCCCATAATCTCTCAAATGTATTTACACAGCAGTCTATAGTATATAGTACTGTGTCTGTGTTGTGTCGGGTCAATCCCTCCCATCCTTCTGGTGGCCTCGCAACCCCCTCCCCTCCTCTATTCTCCATGTTTACCCTCTGTCCCTCCTGTTAATTAATTACATCATCTCTTCTGTGCCCCTCCTCCACTCTAGTCTAGTAAGAGGTAAACAGATGCCCCATACTGCTATCCATTCTGTGGATTGGGCTCTTACAGTAGATATGCTCTAACCGTCTGACGGGACACTACTACTATACTAAACACTTTTACTTCTTGGCATAGATGTAAAGGAAGACAGTATAGGTGAGAAGTAAGATTCACTGGTTGGGTGGAAATCTTGTTAGTGGGATTTACTGGCATGATGAAATCCTGTGGAAGTGAATGAAATCAAGTGGAATATTCACTGTGTCTTAATCCAGCTTTAGGATGTTTCTCTGTGGCACAGTAACTGCTGGCATTGAGCACATATTTACAGTGATAATGTCATAAAGTAAGAAGTATCAGTGGAGATTTTAGCATGCAAATCTTGGTGGGGCAAACTCAAAAACAATTGTTTAGATGCATGCCAGCAAAGCCACTACGCAACACAACACAACACAACACTAAACAATACATTAATTGCACTATAACGGGTACAAACGGTGCCCACAAACTGTTAGGGCCTACCTAAAGCTGTCCCAACAGCATAACTTTCTTTTCAGCACCATGGAGTGAATCCTTAACACCGCTACACCTGGCTATCAGCAGAGCCTTGTCTGGCAGCAAAACAGTTAATTCAGCCTCATTTACTGCCTTTAAAAAAAAAAAAAAAACATAGCTGATATGGCTGACTTGCTTAAACAAATGTGGTTTCTACTGACAATTGAGATGTACAAACTAGAGGCAATCCGTAATTTCGATGAAGATATTAATTAGCGAGTGAGGATGGACGTAGTCAATATAACTATTTGTTCAGCACTTTTGAAATGTACAGCGACAGAATTCAGAACATGGGCCGTTCTTACAGTATTCTCCCTGTACACCAAGTCAGAACCGTAGGATAAATAAAGGGGGCATATAAGCAGACAATGAAAGTTCTTATAATATTCAATGATTACATTTCTCTACTACAGGCTATAGGCTACATGTCAGAACAGTAGGCTAAATTATGAGGGAGAAAGGGACCAGATTATTAGGGTGACTACTAACACTTTACTACACAACATACAATTAGTATTACTTTCTTAGCAACAGTATACATATCTCCCTGGCATATTACATCATTTATGCAGCAAGACATTTTTGGACTCACCTTGTTGTGCTGTGCTAACTTGAACAGGAAGGTGGCGTGGCGGTCCTTCTTGTGGGCAAATTTGGTCTGGTATTTTCTGGATTTATGGTGCTTTCAAGACAACTGGGAACTGAAAAAAACATGGTTGAATCATGACGTCAGTGATCTTCAGGTCGGAGCTCTAGAAAAAGAGGCCCGAGTTCCCAACTTGGAATTCTGAGTTGGATGACAGTTCAAAACGTATTTTCCCAGTCAGAGCTAATTTATTCTGAGTTCCCAGTTGTCTTCAACTCACTGAAGTCTGAGATTTCCCAGTTCCGAGTTTCCAGTTGTTTTGAACGTGGCAGAAGTCATGCTGGATTGACAGCATGGCCAATGTATTCAACCTTTTCTGGCCCATGGTGTTGCATGTGAATGTTTATCCTTTTAAGCTTGGAAAATAGACCCTTAAACCCAGACTTGGACCACACACCCACTCCACTGAATAGCAGGCTAGTGATTGCTTTGCAACACTTGCAGTTAGCCACTGATTCCTTCCAAACCACTCATTGTTGAATTTGCAATTTCCAACTTGTTGTGTAATGTTTATGTCCAATGGCTGATGAGCACCGATACGTTTTATCTATAATTTATCTTGATATGACAAGTATTGAAAAGGATTTGCCAGTAGATTGTCGACTTGATTCATGATGATGACTGCTTGTCTAGCTTGCTAACTAAGATTTTGAAAGTATGATGTTGACATGATCAGTCCAATCAAAGCTACGGTAGATATAACGTGATTTGACGTCATTTTATCTGTGGCCAATGGCCTTGAGCCTTCTTGGATGGGCACTTCTAATGTAACTTTATGGCAGCACCCAAGGGGCTTGAATTTTCTAGCTCTCCCTGTAGATTTTGCGTTGACGTAGTGTCCCCATGAGTGACAGAACACTGAGCCAATCACGGCGCAACTAGAAAATATTACCAACCCCTATGGTTCGTATTTTCTGCTGGCTGCCCCACCACCACAGAAAGCACTGAGCTAGGTTGAGACACCTGCATTTTGAAGCTGCCTTACTCAAGAAAGCAAAAAAGAGACCATGTTTGTATGTGGCTTTATTAAATCAATGATCTTTATTTTATTTTTTTACATTGTTTGCAAACTGATATGTGACACGTATTAATGCCAAAATAACATGCAAAACAGGCAAAACACACATACATATACATATATATATATACACACAGTGCATTAGGAAAGTATTCAGACCCCTTGACCTTTTCCACATTTTGTTACGTTACAACCTTATTCTAAAAATGATTGAATAAATTTTTCCCTCATCAATCTACACACAATACCCTATAATGACAGAACGAAACAGGTTTTTTGACATTTTTGTTAATTTATTAAAAATAAAAACAACAGAAATACCTTATTTATGTAAGTATTCAGACCCTTTGCTATGAGACTCGAAATTAAGCTCAGGTGCATCCTGTTTCCATTGATCATCCTTGAGATGTTTCTACATCTTGGAGTCCACCTGTGGTAAATTAAATTGATTGGACATGATTTGGAACGCACACACCTGGCTATATAAGGTCCCACAGTTGACAGTGCACGTCAGAGCAAAAACCAAGCCATAAGGTCGTAGAGCTCCGAGACAGGATTGTGTTGAGGCACACATCTGGGGAAGGGTACCAAAAAAGGTCTGCAGCATTGAAGGTCCCCAAGAACACAGTGGCCTCCATCATTCTTAAATGGAAGAAGTTTGGAACCACCAAGACTCTTCCTAGAGCTGGCCACCTGGCCAAACTGAGCAATCGGGGGAGAAGGGCCTTGGTCAGGGAGGTGACCAAGAACCCGATGGTCAGTCTGACAGAGCTCCAGAGTTCCTCTGTGGAGATGGGAGAACCTTCCAGAAGGACAACCATCTCTGCAGCACTCCACCAATCAGGCCTTTTGGTAGAGTCCAGTCCTCAGTAAAAAGCACATGACATCCAGCTTGGAGTTTGCCAAAAGTCCCCTAAAGGACTCTCAGACCATGAGAAACAAGATTCTCTGGTCTGATGAAACCAATATTGAACGCTTTGGCCTGAATGTCAAGTGTCACGTCTGGAGGAAACCTGCCACCATCCCTACGGTGAAGCATGGTGGTGGCAGCATCATGCTGTGGGGATGTTTTTCAGCGGCAGGGACTGGAAGAACAGTCAGGATCGAGGCAAAGATGAAAGTAGAAAAGTACAGAGAGATCCTTGATGAAAACCTACTCCAGATCGCTCAGGACCTCAGACTGGGGCAAAGGTTCACCTTCCAACAGGACAACGACCCAAAGCACACAGCCAAGACAAAGCAGGTCTCTGAATGTCCTTGAGTGGCCCAGCCAGAGCCCGTACTAGAACCTGATCGAACATCTCTGGAGAGACCGGAAAATAGCTGTGCTGCGATGCTCCCCATCCAACCTGACAGAGCTTGAGAAGATCTGCAGAGAAGAATGGGAGAAACTCCCCAAATACAGGTGTGCCAAGCTTGTAGCGTCATACCCAAGAAGACTCAAGGCTGTAACCGCTGCCAAAGGTGCTTCAACAAAGTACTAAGTAAAGGGTCTGATTACTTATGTAATTGTGATTTTTTTTTTGCTTTGTCATTATGGGGTATTGTGTGTAGATTGAGGAAAAAAATAATATTTAATCAATTTTAGAATATCCGTTCACCTACTCTGTCTCACAAAGACACGGCGGTTGGAACTAAAATTCTCAAATTTGGACTCATCAGACCAAAGGACAGATTTCCACCGGTCAAATGTCCATTGCTGGTGTTTCTTGGCCCAAGCAAGTATTTTATTCTTATTGGTGTCCTTTAGTCGTGGATTCTTTGCATCAATTCGACCATGAAGGCCTGATTCACGCAGTCTCCTCTGAACAGTTGATGTTGAGATGTGTCGGTTACTTGAACTCTGTGAAGCATTTATTTGGGCTGCAATCTGAGGTGCAGTTAAATTATCGTCTGTGGCGGAGGTAACTCTGGGTCTTCCTTTCCAGGCTCGGTCCTCATGAGAGCCAGTTTAATCATAGCGCTTGATGGTTTTTGTGACTGCACTTGAAGAAACTTTCCAAGTTCTTGATATGTTCCGGATTGATTGACCTTCATGTCTTAAAGTAATGATGGACTGTTGTTTCTCTTTGCTTATTTGAGCTGTTCTTGCCATAATATGGACTTGGTCTTTTACCAAATAGGGCTATCTTCTGTATACCACCCCTACCTTGTTACAACACAACTGATTGGCTCAAACGCATTAAGAAGGAAAGAAATTCCACAAATTAACTTTAACAAGGCACACCTGTTAATTGAAATGCATTCCGGTTGACTACCTCATGAAGCTGGTTGAGAGAACGCCAAGAGTGTGCAAAGCTGTCATCAAGGCAAAGGGTGGCTATTTGAAGAATCTCCAATATAAAATATATTTTTGATTTGTTTAACACTTTTTTGGTTACTACATGATTCCATATGTGTTTTCATAGTTTTGATGTCTTCACTTTTATTCTACAATGTAGAAAATAGTAAAAAATAAAGAAAAACCCTTAAATGAGTAGGTGTGTCAACTTTTGACTGGTACTGTGTGTATATATATATATATATGAATGACATGTTGCCACTGAGAAGTACAGTTGAAGTCGGAAGTTTACATACACCTTAGCCAAATACATTTAAACTCAGTTTTTCACAATTCCTGACATTTAATCCTAGTAAAAATTCCCTGTTTTAGGTCAGTTAGGATCACCACTTTATTTTAAGAATGTGAAATGTCAGAATAATGGTAGAGAGAATTATTTATTTCAGCTTTTATTTATTTCATCACATTCCCAGTGGGTCAGGAGTTTACATAAACTCAATTAGTATTTGGTAGCATTGCCTTTAAATTGTTTAACTGGGGTCAAATGTTTCAGGTAGCCTTCCACAAGCTTACCACAATAAGTTGGGTGAATTCCTCCTGACAGAGCTGGTGTAACTGAGTCAGGTTTGTAGGCCTCCTTGTTTGCACACACTTTTTCAGTTCTGCGCACACATTTTCTATAGGATTGAGGTCAGGGCTTTGTGATGGCCACTCCAATACCTTGACTTTGTTGTCCTTAAGCCATTTTGCCACAACTTTGGAAGTATGCTTGGGGTCATTGTCCATTTGGAAGACCCATTTGCGACCAAGCTTTAACTTCCTGACTGATGTCTTGAGATGTTGCTTCCTCATGATGCCATCTATATTGTGAAGTGCACCAGTCCCACCTGCAGCAAAGCACCCCCACAGCATGATGCTGCCACCCACGTGCTTCACAGTTGGGATGGTGTTCTTCGGCTTGCAAGCCACCCCCTTTCTCCTCCAAACATAACGTTGGTCATTGGCCAAACAGTTCTATTTTTGTTTCATCAGACCAGAGGACATTTCTCCAAAAAGTACGATCTTTGTCCCCATGTGCAGTTGCAAACCGTAGTCTGGCTTTTTTATGGCGGTTTTGGAGCAGTGGCTTCTTCCTTGCTGAGCGGCCTTTCAGGTTATGTCGATATAGGACTTGTTTTACTGTGGATATAGATACTTTTGTACTGATTTCCTCCAGCATCTTCACAAGGTCTTTTGCTGTTGTTCTGGGATTGATTTGCACTTTTCGCACCAAAGTACGTTCATCTCTAGGAGACAGAACGCGTCTCCTTCCTGAGCGGTATGACGGCTGCATGGTCCTATGGTGTTTATACTTGCGTACTATTGTTTGTACAGATGAACGTGGTACCTTCAGGCGTTTGGAAATTGCTCCCAAGGATGAACCAGACTTGTGGAGGTCTAAACATTTTTTTCTGAGGTCTTGGCTGATTTATTTTGATTTCCCCATGATGTCAAGCAAAGAGGCACTACGTTTTGAAGGTAGGCCTTGAAATACATCCACAGGTACACCTCCATTTGACTCAAATGATGTCAATTAGCCTATCAGAAGCTTTTAAAGCCATGACATCATTTTCTGGAATTTTCCAAGCTGTTTAAAGGCACAGTCAATTTAGTGAATGTAAACTTCTGACCCACTGGAATTGTGATATAGTGAATTATAAGTGAAATAATCTGTCTGTAAACAATTGTTGGAAACATGATTTGTGTCATGCACAAAGTAGATGTCCTAACCGACTTGCCAAAACTATAGTTTGTTAACAAGAAATTAGTGGAGTGGTTGAAAAACGAGTTTTAATGAATCCAACTTAAGTAACTTCCGACTTCAACTGTATATCCATCCATTCTCTGACAGAAATGTCCTTTTAGGCATTCACTGAGTTTGTAATTCTCATTGAGATAAAATCTTGCAAGAGAGACCTGTTAAAGAGACCCATGGAAGGCTGAATCCCTGGCCAGTGTTGTATTTCTGGCTATTTCTCTCCTTTCTTACTGTCAGCCTGTGTATTGATATATTTAAATGCATGTTTGATATGATTTAATCTTGATTTGACTTAATTTGCTCAACCTTTTCCAGGATGGCACAGGGATCCCACTGCAGTATTGGGGCGTGTTCGACGGTCACGCAGGCTCAGGTTGTGCCATCATGGCATCTAAACTCCTCCATCGCCTCATCAGAGACAGACTGGGGGACATCGCCCACCTGCTGGAAAACCCCTCCGTGACGCCCCCTATCTGCCTGGCCAAGAACGGCAGCCCCTACCAGGTGGAGGTGAAGAAGGGAGCAAATTCCACCCAGGACCCAGAGGACCCTGACGCCATCACTGACCCCTCCATCCGCTTCCACACCGAGAAGACTGTCAGTCTGGAGAGTCTGATCATGGGCATCATAGAAAATGCCTTCAAACAGATGGTAAGACACAGGCGTATGCTAACGGCATATCGCCTTCATTTGTGAAATATCGTTCTACTCGTCTCAGTGAAGCCTGGGAGTCCAAGAGAACATTTTGTTTCCAGAATCAAATGCACAGATGATTTATTTTTTAGGCAGACTTTATCTCTCAGTAATTGCAAACATTTCATGTTAAGTATAACCTCCTCAAAGGGCTGCTGACTTCCTTCTATAACCCAATGAGTGAATACCGTTTTGTTTCCGGTTGATTACAGGATGAACTGATAGAGAAAGAGAAGATGTCCTATACCATCTCTGGTGGATGTTGTGCCTTGGCTGCCATCCATTTAATGGGGAAGCTTTACGTTGCCAATGCAGGAGACAGCAGGTAGGTCAACTGCAGGTCAAACTCGAATAGCAGCAGATTGCCCATAATGACTAATGGATTACAGGCCTACTTGTTGTACACATTCAATTCAATGTATTCGATGCAGAGTTGAATGACTGAAAGAGAGGTTAAAGGAAGTGACACAACATGATGCCCATAACCTTTGATTCAAAGAAGCTGTTCCCGTTGGTCATGCTCAAAATAATCTCACACAGCAGTTCTTATGACCTCTGCTGGCCGCTCTTTGTACTGCAACACCATTCATCATGTACTGTAAACTCCTGGTAGGATATGCCCATAAGCACAAATCTAGGATCGTTATACTGTTTCCAAATCTTAACCTCAACCCTTAGGGGGGAACAAATCTAGACTGACTTTAGATCAGTGTCTTGGAGCGATAATCATCCTGTAACGTGCTGTGCTGACCCTCTTAACTCCACATTATCTGTCCCGTGTCCTCCTAATATGGGGTCACATTATGGTGTCTGTCTTTGTCTTTATGCAGTACATTGTACCTCCCATATCAATAGAATCACTACTCATTCTACTTTGGTTCTTCCTCTGTTTCTACAGAGCCATCATCATCCGTAACGGTGAAGTCATCCCCATGTCCAATGAGTTCACGCCCGAGTCAGAGAGGCAGCGTCTGCAGTATCTGGTGAGGATGGGGTTGATGCATTTATTCATGATTTCCTTATTTAAAAAGAGATTTCACAAATAAATTAAAGTGTCAGATGTTTCCAGACTTTAGAGGTCTGAAAACATCGGACAAACTTTGATTTGAAAGTGTAATGTCCCTTTAACCAGGTGAGTCCCATCACCGTGAGATATGAATAGATTTTTCAAGGGTGCCTTGGCCAAGAGGAAGATGCACGGGGGAGGTATTGTTATTTAACATATGATTCAGACTACATCTTTATTCATTGACTGTCTGTTGGTCTAAATTAAGCTGGAGTGGGTAGCTGTGTGGGAGAGGGGTGGAACCCTCAGGGAGAGGAATGAAAAGTACCAAGTTTGTGTTTCACAGTTATGTAATTTTCTACTGTCACTTTTCCTACTGCCATGACGCTTCCTTTAGGATATGTTTATTGCTCCATTTACACTAAAAAACATCTAATTCCAAAACCAATGGCATTAATATGGAGTTGGTCCCTCGTTTGCTGCTATAACAGCCTCCACTCTTCTGGGAAGGCTTTCCACTAGATGTTGGATCATTGCTGCGGGGACTTGCTTCCATTCAGCCACAAAAGCATTAGTGAGATCGGCACTGATGTTGGGCGATTAGGCCTGGCTCGCAGTCTGCGTTCCAATTCATACCAAAGGTGTTCGATGGGGTTGAGGTCAGGGCTCTGAGCAGGCCAGTCAAGTTCTTCCACACCAATCTCGACAAACCATTTCTGTATGGACCTCGCTTTGTGCACGGGGGCATTGACATGCTGAAACAGGAAAGGGCCTTCCCCAAACTGTTGCTACAAAGTTGGAAGCACAGAATCATCTAGAATGTCATTGTATGCTGTAGTGTTAAGATTTCCCTTCACTGGAACTAAGGGGCCTTGCCCAAACCATGGGAAATAGCCCCAGACCATTATTCCTCCTCCACCAAACTTTACAGTTGGCACTATGCATTCAGGCAGGTAGCGTTCTCCTGGCATCCGCCAAACCCAGATTCGTCCATCGGACTGCCAGATGGTGAAGCATAATTCATCACTCCAGAGAACACATTTCCACTGCCCCAGAGTCCAATGGCGGCGAGCTTTACACCACTCCTGCCAACGCTTGACATTGTGCATGTTGGTCTTAGGCTTGTGTGCGGCTGCTCGGCCATGGAAACCCATTTCATGAAGCTCCCGACTAACAGTTTTTGTGCTGATATTGCTTCGTTGCTTCCAGAGGCAGTTTGGAATTCAGTAGTGAGTGCTGCAACTGAGGACAGACGATTTGTACGCGCTACGCGCTTCAGCACTCTGCGGTCCCGTTCTGTGAGCTTGTGTAGCCTACAACTTCCTCGTTGAGCCAATGATTCTCCTAGACGTTTCCACTTCACAATAACATAACTTACAGTTGACCCGGGGCAGCTCTAGCAGGGCAGAAATTTGACGAACTGACTTGTTGGAAAGGTGGCATCCTATGATGGTGCCACGTTGAAAGTCACTGAGCTCTTCAGTAAGACCATTCTACTGCCAATGTTTTACCTATGGAGATTGCATGGCTGTTTGCTCGATTTTATACACCTGTCAGTAACGGGTGTGGCTGAAATAGACTAATCCACTAATTTGAAGGGGTGCCCACATACTTTGGTAAATATAGTGTATGAATTGTAAGAGCCATTTCGTCACAAGACAAGTCCATTTGACATGACACTTTGTCATGTATAGTTTTGTCAACATTAGCTCTGCTCTGTGTCCCTGCAGGGCTTCCTGAGATCGGAGCTGCTTGGGAATGAGTTCACACACTTGGAGTTCCCTCGCAGGATCCAGCACAAGGAGCTGGGCAAGAAGATGCTCTTCAGGGACCACACAATGAATGGCTGGTAAATGACAGCTGTTGTCTAACATATGCGGTTCATTGTATTTTTAATGGTCAGGGCCAGGAGTTTTTACAGACCACGTAATCTGACCAGGAAAACTCGCTGCCCTATAAAAGCCTCTATGACAGTGTACTGGATCAAGAGATAAAAAAAAAGTAGGCTATATACTTGAAGAATATAATCACTAATCCATAACCTGTGTCCTGTTGGTTTGTTGCAGGGCTTACAAGACCATCATAGAAGACGACCTCAAGTTCCCGCTTATATATGGAGAGGGCAAAAAGGTGAAGCACTTTGTCATGTTTATGGACTTTGGGCACTGGTGGACATCATAACAGAACAGCACAGTAGATGTATGGTACTGTAAGGTCTACCATTGGCAGAGCCACAGTAGTTTGTTCCGGACCACATTACCACCTGACCAGGTAAAACCCTGCCCAAGTCATGGGACATTTGATATACACAGTAGAGTATATCTTGGTCTTCAAACTAAATGTAGATGTACTGTTGTCCACATCATATGTTACCCCTGACAGAAAGAAAACTTAGCTGCTTAGCTTAGTGTATGCTTAGCTGTTAGTTCACCAGCAGGACAGATATAGCAAGATATAACTTTTAGTTATTCATTCCGCTATGTGTGGGAGGACTTCTAATGCAAGTACATGGTTGTTGTTCAACTCTCCCAGTCTTTAGCTGTGTGGTAAAAGAGACACACTGAAAACATTATTCTCCCATGCAGAAAAGTGCTCCTGAGTCACTAATCCCTCATAAGTGGATTTTCCTAGAATCAAGGAACACCCACAGGCACTAACCCGGATCACTCACTATGTGTGTGTTTGTGTTGTGTGTTTATGTTGTGTGTAGGCCCGTGTCATGGCCACCATTGGGGTAACACGTGGCCTAGGGGATCATGACCTAAAGGTGTACAACTCCAACATCTACATCAAACCCTTTCTCTCCTGCTGCCCAGAGGTGAGCGAGACATGTCATGCTGCCTGTGTCTAGAACCATGTATCACACACCGTCTGTAAGATCATGGCTTGTCTAGAAGCATCCCAGTGTGTTCCAAGGCTTGGAGGATATCTAATGACGTATGTTTACTTTATTTTGGCTCATCAGTCAATATATTGTACAACACTTTATTGAATATCCTGAAAAGCGAAGAAATCTGATCTAAATCCATTGATAGCTAGGAAACCTCTTGCTCTGATTTAATACTGTATTATAGCTATTTTTAATACTGTACATACACTCCCTCCCTCCTTTATCTGTTGCTCCTCCCTCCTTTACCCGTCGCTCCTACAGGTGATAGTGTACGACATGTCTGAGTACAAGCATGGCCCTAATGACGTGCTGGTGATGGGTACAGATGGGCTGTGGGACGTGACCACGGACAGGGAGGTAGCAGACGCAGTTTCAGGCTTCCTGTCCTGCTGCGAGCCCACTGATCCTGTGAGGTATGTACTGTAATCTCTAGTCTATAATCTACACAGTACAGTATATGGTCATGCTACTCTCTGTCTATAAGCTAAAGACAGTATACAGCCATGTTGCTTTGGCAGCTTGCATGCATGCATCAAATATAATCTAGGAATTAGATGTATGATTAACAAGATTTTGCAAGCCGGCGCAGTACACTCCATTTGTAGGAATCAACCGCTTATCAAAACATGTGGAAGATAAATATTCCTAACCTCGCAATATACTTCCCTTTTGAGAGCCATTGAACTATGCACTGATTCAGAGATGTCTGAGGAACCACAGGGATGAACAGAACAGAGCCAAAGAATGTCAGGGCAATGGTGCAACTAATATAGGCCTATAGAGGCCAGGTAAAACCTGAACATGAGTACTGAGTAATATCTGGACTAGGCCAACATAACAATGGATGGTCCACATTCAGAAACTAACTAAATGCAGAGACACATAGAATAACTAGTTACACATTATAACAGTGATATGTGAATGCTTCCATATGCCGTTACACCATAGCTTGTGCAAAGCACTGGTGGCAATATTCCAACTAACCTGTACTTGGTGATACTTTCTTCGTTCTCGATTCGGAAAAAATGTGTCTCTTATAAATGTCCGTGTCCAGTTACAGGTGGTACTCCATAAAACAGAGAATATTCAGAAATATATTAAAACCACTTCTTGCACAGAGTGAGGAGTTATTTCGCAATTTTAGCTGCCAGACAGCTTGCATTTCCCAACATCTTTGCAGGAACTAGTCGTTTCTATGCAACACGGCCACATGGAGAAGTAGATGACAGCGCGTCACACAGTGCGACCAAAACAAAGATCTCTCACTCTATACAAAAAGAGGATTTCATATTTTTCTGAAAATTCTCTGGTTTTTGGAGTTCCACCTGCAACTGGACAGAAGTTTATAAGAGACAAGTTTCTTCCGAATCGAGAACGAAGGAAGTATACAGAGTAACGTGTATGGAAGCATTGCCATATCACCTTTACAATGTGTAGCTAATAGAATAACACGATAAGCAGAACTATAATGCTTCAATAAACAGCTTGACATAAATATGAAAACGCCATTAGTTTGGTTAATGAGAATGCACATGTTAGCATTAGTGTGCTAGCGCTACAAACAATACCAAACAATCTAATAATAAGGCATTGTGGTAGCGCGAGACAATACCAGGACAGGTAAGAGACATGCATGAAGTTCAACACAAACACAGTAGAATAATTATGTTAGCATAGTCAACATTGTACTGACAATATGGTTGAATGACCATTTCCCTCTCTTTTTTTGTAAACTCACCTGACTCCCAAGGGAGGTGATTGACCAACATACCGGAAGCAGAGAATGACTGGATTGCCTTGTCAGTAGATAGGAGCTGGGCCTTGTCATGGAAGGATGTGATTCTTATTAGGGGAATACATTGTGAGAGGGCTTATACTATTAGAGTTGCTACCAATAAAAACAGAGTAGATATTGAATATTCAGGTAGCCTTGAAAAAAATCACTGAATATTGGTTAGAAAAGGAGGAGTAATTAAATGATATATCCACTAGAGGTCAGTCTCTAGCCTGTACAAATTAGTATGTAATTTTTTTATGGCAATACCATTTTGACAAACACCTTCACATACACATATTTGGGATGAATTACATTTCAAACTCTATTCATGAACATAAAAAATACTCATTTGAAATAAATAGCACTTTTCAATGTTTTGACCCCAACACTGTTTACATCCAGATACACACTGGCCGCCCAGGACCTGTTGATGCGGTCGCGAGGGGTCCTGAAGGAGAGGGGCTGGCGGTTACCCAATGAGAGGCTGGGTTCAGGAGACGACATCACTTGTTATGTTATCCCCTTGGCGGGACCGACAGGGCCCGAGACAGAGACATGAAAGGCCCTGTCCCACCCCCCTACCAGGAGAGGACTAGCTCCCTTGGACCAACCAGGGTCACTCCGTCCCCCCTACCCCCTCTACCCTGGAGAGGGGTGAAGAACATACCTCCCTTTATAGGGAAGCCTCAGGTTGGAGAGCTGGCTGCTGACACCTGTCAACCGGCCCGTCCTCCTGGCTTCTGCAACAACCCACTCACCCACTGGGCTCTAATTATTGACATTACCTGACCGACCGACACATGTCCATTTCTGAAACCTGCTCTTTTTGATCGCTACTTAATGAGAACTCTGCCCCTGTAGCTTCATGTTTTAATCTCTCTAATTGAATGGCTGATAATTGCAGGAGGATTGGTTAGGCCATCATCTGATAGCAGTGCTTGGTTAGTCGTTCTAAATAAAACCTCCTTATTACCTTATGACCCCCACATGTGATTTATAGAATGCTCAATTCCTAAAATAATGAAATGTATTGCTTGTGTAGAGTACAGTATGACAGGTGGAGGTAGATGGCCCTGCACATTGTCTAACATCAAATAGCATGACTGATAGCAATTGAGGGACTAGCATCATGTAGGAGTGACACCACTGCTCAAAAGACAGTGGAGCTCTGTGACAAAATAACTATATGAGCCCTATATCTAAGGTTAGGAGATGCTTCTGAAACACGGATGGGAATGTTGAATGAGGAAGATACAAAGTATGAAGAGGAAACAGTCTGTTACCCATCCTGTGCCAGTATTGCAGAAACTCCAATGTCAAAGCAGCAGTGAATGATGATGAAGGATGTGAAACCTGAAGCACTTTAAGACAGTCAGTCTGATTAGTGGTTATGAATTCAATGGCACTTTCAATGATTTTTCTTGAATTATGTATGTTTAGAGATATATTTTTGTTTAACTTATTGTTAGTTTTGTCACCATTAAAGTAGATAGTCATTTTTTTACTTAAAAAAAAAAGACAAAGCAGGACTGAGATGTGCATGACCTTAGTCTGTTGTAATATCTTCATATAATATATTTGATCCAAACTCAAATATCAAAGGGTCTTTTGGCATGTAGGTGCAATGTCATTTTGAATTTGAATGAAATGATGGTTTCCTTCCTCTCAAAGTGTTCCTATAGAATGTATCGGTTTGTTTGAGTATTGTCTCCCAGATTTAAAAGATCCACAATAGTGTGCAGTACTGTTTTCTACTTTTTATTCTGGATTGACAACTTGTAGTAGAGAATCTGTTCGTCAGTATGTGATCAATTTCACTTGACTGCCTTACTACACTTGAGGAACATTGTGGGCCAGGGACTGTATGTTCACATGTTAATTCATTAATATCAAAGTCTTCATTTCACTTATGTTAGAAGTTGCCAAGACAAATGTATGCTCTCAAATGTCTTGCTTCTCTCTTTGATTGTTCTGTTTTTTTTACATGTTATGTGTAGCGATTATAGGTACGTTATCCCTAGCTTTTGAGAACGTTGGCTAATGGCTAAATATTGCTTTATTTATAATAAAGAGGTAGGGGATAAAGTGGATCCTTACCAAAGTAAGACGTACATCTCTATGCTCATTTCCCCATATCCTTTGAACCTATAAAATAACTCCTCTAAAATTAATCTTTGAACAAACTACCATTAGTTCTGAACCAGATGTTGAAATAGTAACTTGGTAAATTATGGCATTATACCTAATGCAGTTAGGTAATGACCATGCAGTCCAGGAATAAACCCTGTTAATCTTTGAGAAATGTGTGCAATCCCTTACAATTATACAGAACTCTGCACTGGAAAGGGAAGGTTTAGAGGGAAAACAAAGGGTATATTTAGAGTGAATACAGAAATTACTAGGTGATACCATAATGTTTAGCTTATGTTCATTTTGATGGGTTGTTAATATTAATAATATAATAACAATAATTTCCTAAATGTCTAATACAGATGACAAAAAAAAAGGAATCTGAGAAGAGGAATTGTTTGTCATACTGTAACTATAAACTATGGGAAAAAAAACTACCCTAAAATGTAACAAATCCTGCAACACAATAGGCTACTTATAGAATATATTTTATAGGGAAATAATAGCTCTGAGGATGCTGGTTAATAACTGTTTAGGTTACCATTTGATCCACACTACTAGTGTACTTCCTTGGCCCACTCCCTTTATTCTACAATCCTTGTAGAACGAATGATGTCATTATTTTTGACCGTGGAAAGGGAGGGGACCTCACTGATTCCAACTGCTGCACCTCGTCCCTAACCAATAGAGATTAAGCGCCACCACTGCCTCTCCAGATCGGTGGGAGGATCCTATGTTTGTCGGTCCTGTTTCTTAGCACCCTCTATGTAAGCTAATTTACCGAATACTGCAGCAAGGGTGTCACGACCCAGAGAGAAGGAAGGCAAGTCGGGAGTAAAATCTGAACAGTGGCCAAAAGAGAGGTAATTTTTTTAGTTGAAATATTATCTTCAAGTGTTACAGTTAGCGGGGTGGACTAGGATTGTCCGTTTGGAAATAATTGACTAGGCTACTTTGCTTCGGGCCGAGAAAAGTAGGTGGTGGCTTGTGGCGATAGTTAGTCAATCGACAAGTTAGCCTATTTTTCTTATTTTCTTTGATTTAGGTTTAATCTATTATTGGGTATTCCAGAGCGACTCATTATTGTATTACAGCCCTGTACAGTTTCACTGATTTCGATGTAATTGTTGATACACTGTTGCTTCTTATGCTGCGTTCGTAACCAAGTGGGAGGTGGGAATTTAGCAGTTGTGAAATCATAAATACCAGTTGGATGCATTCACTGGCTTTGAACTCGTTGAGAAATGCTGATTGGCCAACAAGCTGTTAAACCATAAACTAAATGTACAGCTATCGTGTTTGTAAACAAATTATAGTGTTAAACTATATTAGATTTGTTTTTATAATGCTTTGTTGCATTTATCTGAAATGCTGTTATCGAGGTAATTTCATTAGTAATTGAAGTCAGAGGACAGTGTGTGGGAGCTCAAGATGATAGATGAGTTTGCCACTAGTAATTACCAGTTGGAGGGGCGATCAAGGATTTTTCCAAGTCGTATGTGGTAAATACCCACTTGGTTACGAATGCAGCATATGCCTAGGCTACTGACGGAACTCAAGGCAGCAACCTCGCTAATCAGTCTTTGAGAACATGTCCTAATTTTTTCATACTACAGTGACAAGTCGGATAATATCGAATGATGTTTATTTTTAAGGTTCCAATAAGTATTTTAAAAGCGGTCAAAACTTAAAACACGCAGGCCCTGTCGAGTTTATTTGGCGTAGGAATTGAAATAATCTATCTCTGGGCGGATAGTTGTTTGCCTTTTCTGAACGAAAGGGCGTTTGAGTTTAGTTTAGCCTGGAATAAAATATTAAGAGGCATTTCCACATAGCCTAATAAAAGTGGCGGAAAATTATTACACCACCCAATGTAGCAGGCAATATTTTGTTTAATTGCGTGCTATTGTTTGGGTTCTGAAATCCGTAAATTTTGATGACTTCATTTAATGTGACGTCGGCGCTCCAGTCCGCCCACACTCAATCGTAAATTGTGGAGTTGAGTTTAGTCGTCAAATGCCACGCTCATTGGCTAGTTGGACCTAGGAAACCCAGAAATGTCTGACTTGCTGATTAGTTGAACGCGGGACGTCTGACTACAACCAGTTAGCAAGTTGGACATTTCTGAGTTTCATAGTTCCGACTAGCACGTGAACATGGCATTAATCAGGGCAAAGGGCTAACGCCCTGTACGAATCGTGATGCATTTCATTATACCATACGTCATTTTCACGGAGTCTTGGTGCTTTCAAGACAAGTGGGAAGGCGCGCAAAAACCGAGGTTGAATCATGACGTCAGTGATCATCAGTTCGGAAATTTGGAGCTCTAGAAAGAGGCCCGAGTTCCCGATTTAGTTGGATGACCTTTCAAAATGTTCCCAGTTGTCTTGAACACTCTGTAGTCGAAAGTTGGAGATTTCCAAGTTAAAAGAGTTCTGAGTTCCCAGTTGTTTTAAATGAACAGACAAGTGAAGTATTTGTAACGCAAGATGGAGGAGAGCCTGTCTCTCGTCAGAGATCGCATTTATTTTGGGAGATTGCAAAATATGACCTCCTCATTGAAGACAGGATAAATATATTGTTTCAGGTGATAATAAAACATGTTTTGTTTAGTTAATTTATCTAACTTTATAGCAAGTCAAGCTACCTTGCACTGCAGAGCAACTATCTAGCTAAAAGCTAGGCTAGGTTGAAGATGTACCACTGTAGCTAGCAACCTCCACCTAATAATGATCAAAAACAAAGGTCATTACCATCATAATATACTTAAACGGGAGGCAAGTCATAATATAATTGGCTTAGAAGCCAAAGTGTATTATTTAACATTGCTATTAAAATCGTACTCACTTATAGGAATGGGTAATTGTTTACAAGTTGCTAGCTATCCCATAAAGCCATCGCCGAAAACCACAGCTGTGTTCGAATACTCATACTAACTGCACTAACCGTACTATTTGTGATGTAAATTTAGTATGTAGTATGCTTATTGGTCATAGTATGGATATTGTTAGTATGCCAAAAGTTCCCGGATGTTGTACTACATTCGCCAAAATACGAAGTATACAAGCAGTGGACACTATTTCCGTGCTTTTAGGGCCCATAATGCAATTATTCAGAAAATGGGCGTGGCTTCACTACATCTTCAGATTTGAAGAAAATGGCGGAAAATATGCAGCCAAAGTCCGACGAAAGCGTATACAAATTCATTGCTTTAACTAATTATGAAAAATGTTAAGAAGATGTTGAGCGACGTAATAAAGTAATTACTTTTTAAATAAGTTACGTTACATGTTATGTTGGCTGACAATTTGTAAGCTACGCTATCCTTAAGAACCGCATATCATTACAGCAGTACTGGTATATTAACTAGCTACCTAACGTTAGTTGGCTACTAGCTTGGGTTAGCCAGTTAGCTTGGGTGCTTGACTG